TTATTTTCTCAGCTCAAAATGTTGTTTGTGTTGTTTGCCTTTTAACTTGAAAATAAATGGAAAGCTCGTCGTCTGATGGGAAAGACTCAGTGACTTTTTATTTCAATACCGACTGCAGGCCAGCCACGCGCGCCCCAGAGTCCGTGTTCCAGCCCCGCCCGGGCTGGGCCGCACCCCCACCGCCCCTCCTCCTTTCGCTCTTCCTCTCTTCCTCTCTTCCTCTCTGCCTCTCTCTCCCTTCTCCTTCTCCCGGCTTCGCGCGCATCGCCCGAAACTAGGTCGTCCCCGTGGCAAAGCGCGCGGATTCGCTCCAGGCGAGGGCGGTGGGGGAGGAGGGAGGGGGGCGAAACTAGGTCAATGGGGCCCGGCCCGCAGCTTCGCAGCTGCAGCTGCCGCCGTGGCTTGTGGTGCCCCCCCCCCCTTTCCTGGGCACACGTGCGCGGCCCCTGCAGCACCCTGAGGGCCCCACCCCCCCGGGGGCGCTCTACCACCGCCCGCTGCCCGCGACCCCAGCGAGGGACCCCCAGGAGGGCCCCGGCGGGGCGGGCGCCACCGAGTGTTTGCCGAGGAGCGGCGTGGCGTGGCGTGTGGGGTGGCCGCAGGTGCGCGGGCAGGCAAGGGGGCCCTCAGGCCGCTGGGGGGCGGAGTGAGTGCTCGGCCTCCATCAGTGTGGCATTAGCCGTTTGCCAAAAGCAGCAGCAGCAAGAGCCGCTCGGCTTCCTCTCGAGTAGAGAGGACCAGGCAAGCGCACGCCTCGCGGCAGGCGGCGAGCGGCGGGGGCGCGTAGGAGGACCGGGAGGGAGGCTCTCAAGGGATGGAATAGTAATCTGCTTCCTTTCGTTTCCGAGATGATAAACGACGGCGATCTCCTGCTGCTCAGGCGCGCGTGCCCCCCAGCTCACGCCCTTCCTTCATCCCCATCCCTATCTTCTCCGCTGGCCTGCTCCCCCATCCTCTCTCCACGCGCGGCGGCGGGGTGGGGCCGATGATGGTATCGAAATAACCAATACGGGCTCTGGAGGGCTTACCGCCGAGCGAAGCCCCCTCTCCCCCTTGGCCTGCGCTGCGCCCGGGTAGTACCGCCGAGCGGAGCCGACCCACCCGCCGCCGGGGACAGCCAGGAGCCAGGCGACGAAAAAACCTCGCCATGAATATCAACGGCAAACCCGACGGCATCCCCTAGCCCCGCCCGGCAGTGCTCCATCCCCTCGCTCATCTCCCCGGCCCGCCCCGCCCACGCCGTCCTCTGCTCGCTCTAATGAGAGGCTGGAGCTGGTCCTCATCACCCGGGGAGCTCAGCTCTCCGCCACCGCCGACGCCCCGCCCCGTCCCGCCCCGCCCCGCCTCAACCCGCCTTACCTCGTGAGCCCGCGGACTTGCGCCTTGGCTCTAGCCCTAAGCCGCTAGGAGGGCGCTAGAGGGTTCCGCGGGCCGCCCGAGGCCTCCGTCTGCACACGGAACACCTCGGCCATGCTCCACCCCCGCCCTAGAGTCCCAGCCGCTCGGGGCGGGCTCGGCCAGTCCCACCCCGCAACCCCGCACCCGCAGCCAAGCCAAGTCGGGGCGCTCACGGACGGGAGCTAGTGCTTCCATTTCACCTCCGCTATATGCGTTAACGCGTGGCTGTGCCCTGGCTGTGCCCGGGCTGTGCCACTCAATGCAGGGCAACCCATCGGACCGTCGAGGCGGGGCGCGCGGCGGGGGGCCGCGGGCCACGAGGGGGAGGGAGAGCGGTGCGGGGCACAGCGGAGACGCACCGCGACGCCTAGCGATGCGTCGCTACGCGCCGGCGCTCCAGAAGTAGGTCAGTGGGTCACAGTAGAACAGCACATGCCTGGGCTCGGCCTAGGCTCGGCGTAGGCTCGGCCTGGGCTCGGCCTGCCCCCGCCCCCTCACAGTAAAGCCCCCCGATCCCTGCCCACGGGGTTGAGGAGTGGGAGTGGGGCCCGCAACGACCGGGGGTACGTACTGACGAGTGCCCGCCCAGGAGGGCTGCCGAGTGCCAGTCGGGGCCCAGCAAGGGGACCGTTAGGTCCAGGTCGAAATGTTTGCTTTGCCCGATAGGTATAATTCGTAGCACACTTTAAACCACGTATGATGGTTGATTGTTGCTGAGCTTCGCCCCCCCCCCCTTTTCAACACCCCGTTCCAGAGGGGGCAGGCTCGGCGCCTGGAAGAAATAAAGTAGGGGGAGGGGCGGGAAAAGTGGGGCAGGGGGTCAGGCCACCACCCTCGGGGTCTGGCCTCCCCTGGCCCGGCCTCCCTGAGGGGGGTGAGTCCGAGGGG